AAATCAAAATTCAAAAACATCACACTCCTCCCAGTGTTTTTTCTAGTGAAGTCAAGGTTTTTCCACACTTTTCTTTCTCTGCGTTGAGGGAATTTTACTGCATATCTCTGCATTTGTCATGTGAAGGCTGCTTGAATCTGTTTTTTCTGAAATATTCAGCAACTGAAGCACAGGTTTGTGTGCCAGAGGCGCCTGGTTCTAATCCTCAGTCATTTTAGCCAAGCCACGTCCTCATGCATGCTGTCTTCCCCTGAGGACATGAATGGATGTGATCCTTTGAACAGTAGCACACTCACTCCTGGCCCTGAAATGTACCACAGGCACCACAGAGAGATTTAGGAGGCGCCTCCATCGGCTGACTAATCATCATAAAAGTACTCAGAAGAAAAAAAAAAAAATTCTATAAACTTCTGGTTATTTATTTTAAAAAGCTAAACTCATATAGATTCTTTTCATACACGGAAATGGATTTCAAGTGTTTACTTGGTTGGAGATCCTGTTACATCAATGTAGCATGACATGCAGATGATCAACCTGTAGTAAAGCTGAGGAAATATCCAGTTTGTCTACATCATTGAGTCTGGTGTCTTTCATCTGAGGGCATAATTTTTTTTAATTTATTTTTTTTTGGTCTGGATAGTTTTATGGCAAATCCAGTACATCAATATCAGTTATTGATTTTTGTTTTTGAAAAGTGGGCAGGTTATCAAGTCCTGCTGGAAAATGAAATCAGCAGCTCTATGAAGCTCGTATCACTCAACTTTTGATTCATGTACTTGGCTACCATATTCCATAAACAGGAAGTGTTTTCACAAAAGAGCTTTTGTGGACAAATCCCATTGTGGAGACGTCAATGACTGTTTGCTGAATAACTTTTGAGTCAACAGTTTGGCACATAGAGACGCACCACAATAATAGCTGTTCAGCACATTCACCTGCTAGTTAAATGCCATTTCACAGTTCACATCCCGTCACCTAATCCTTCAGCATGAACGACATATTTATTAGAAACTAACCTACTGTTAGTTATCTCTAACAGTAGGCTTACCTACCAGTGTGGTTACAGCACCAATACAATCCCTGTTGAAAATATTTGGCAAGAAATCATCACACTTGGGGTGATGTTTGTCCATCCATTTTTATTTTGTATTATAAACTGAAAAAGTGTGGATTTTACCCAAAAGTAGTTAATTTGGTATGTGGTTTCTTACTAAACACAAAAACAAGATTTAAAATGTTGCAATGCTTAACTGTTTTTGCGGTCGAGCAGCAGGGGAAATATGTGATGATTAAAATGTAAGTGTGATTGGAAAGAAAACTAAACACAAAAGGGCTTAAAATCTGCAAATGCATCAAAAGATGTAAAAAAGAAGAAAAAGATAAGGGAGAAAGAATGTTTTAAAGATATGGACCATAAGAAGCCCCCATTCTCTGAAGTTAATCTGCTAAATTTCTTTTTAAAAAACCCTCCATTTGATCAAGAGTTCTGTCTTTTAATATTTTTTTTATATGAGATGTTAACAAATCCAAAAGAAGTACAACAAAGCTTTAATGTGCTTGACTTTGGTTCATTATTAATAATTCTATTCATTAACTCTTAGCACCTGCATAATTTTTCCTCTGCTCATTCAAAAACAGCCTACAGCTATATTTCAAAAGTTCATCCAACCCATGCAGACTTTCTCCCAAAGAAACATAAAATATTTACAAACAAACAAACAAACAAAATAAAAAAATGTAGCAGTACACAACTGGCAAAGAAATTCATTGTGATATATTCTTTGGGTTGTTTTGTCCTGATCTGACAAAATTAGTTTATGGATTCATGTACAGTATTATATTTTCCTGACCCCGTAAAGCTTTGCTATGCTTGAAACGTTGACTGCATCAGGAACCTTTAAGCCAGTTGCAAATCAGCGAAGCAAATGTTCAAAGTTTGAACATTTGCTTCCAACTTCTCATCCATCAAACTGTGAAGGCACATTGAAAACTTCCAAATGTTTGCACGAAATGTCAAACCTAAAAGTATAGCAAGAGTTTTGGGGTTTTGTAATTAGTATATATGATTTCTGACACAAGACTCTCTTGCTACTGACATGAAAGCACTGTATTAGTATTTACATGTCAGTGTGCTACACATTGCCCTGAAAATGTGACAGATGAAGTACGATGTGATGTAAAATTCAAATTTTCAATGTCATATTTCCATTACTTGTAAGGGGAAAGCCATCATAAATAGCAGAAATAAGGCTTTCAAATATACATCTCTGTGTAATTAATCTATTTAATGCGTTTCACTTTGTGATAAAGTTCCTTAATAAATGGGCTTTTTAGTAATATTCTACTTTATTCAGTGTAGAACACTGAGCCCCAACAATCCCAGAATGATGATCTTTGCACACAGTTTCTGTCAGCAAGACCTCTATTACTTACGATTTGACCCCCCCCCCACCACCACCCACAAACACTCCCAACAAATAAAAGGACAATTTCACAAAAAAAAAGTATTTTATTTATTTATTTATTTATTGAACAAATGAATTTATTTACATCCTGGCAAAAACTGATGCAAGGAGCTTTAATGTTTCTCTCACAACTACAAGTGGTACAACTTTGTCGAGAGTCGTTGAGTCATGCTTAATTCTTCACAGTACATTTCACTACACAAGTGAATAAAGGTCCACTCATTGATTCTACAGTAGTGAATGCTTTCAGTAGAAAGCGGCAATTTGTGCAAGAAAACAGTCATTTTGTACAACATTTGGAAATGAAAAGATTAGATGAAAGAGGAGTATTGTTTTCGGTGAACATCTGAGAGCACATTAGGATGCTATCTGGTGGTGTCCTTTCTTCACATAACTACAAAACTGAATTGCGGCACTTCCTCTTCTCGATACAACGAGAACTCATCGTTACATTGATTTGTTTTCGGTTCAATTCCTTCTGACTTCTTGTCCCTCCGTTATTCTTTTGCCAAGGCTTCTCTGCTTTTCCCGCAAATTAATGTTGCAAGGTTGGAGTCTGAATGCACCGCTGTTTATTTTGTTTTCTAAGAGTGATAAATCCTTGGCATCAATTCATGAAACTAATAAAAGTTAAGCAAAATAGAAACTCATAAAATGCCATTGCAGATATATATATATATATTTTTTTTTTTTATTGCAAGAGTATTAGGATTGGTGGCCATCTTTCAAGTTTTAACATCATCTTGATTTAACAACATGCCTCCTGTGATTTTCTCTGCTCGTAGGAACCAACATTAAATCCAATCATTTCCTCGTTGCAGCAATTTATTTAAAGATGGTGTAAGTAATGACTTGCACTGCTATTTTGTTGCTCTCCTTAAAAGAATGTGGGTGTGTGGATGTACATTGTGTGTGGGAGGTAAAGCGTATAGCTAATGAGCGTCAGAGAATAGAGTGTACCTCCATCTACACACGTTTTAATAAATCGAAAATGAACACAGCTTATCAACACACAGATAAGAGTGCAGCTGAAAAAAAAAATCCATCTTTTTGTCATTTGTTTTTAATTCATTTGAACGTCATCTATGATGGTAAGTTCTGCGTCTATTTCTGCACAAAATGCACAGTTGTTGCTTGGTTTATCATTTATGAGACTAATTTTGTTTACTTCTGACAGATTTTTTTTTCTTTGAGGCATACTCCCTTCTCTGCTTTTAAGCAGACATGATGATGAAACGGTTTAAATGAGTTACCATGCTTTTATTTGTCATTAGCATGAACCAGAAAAAAAAATACTTGAAAAATAAACAGGTATAAAAAATAATATTCACTCTAACAGATTCTTTTTTGTTTTTGTTTTACTTTCTTCACAAAAAGGAAAAAAAATCAAACACAGACAAAAGTAACCTTAATAGAGCCATAATGCAGTTTTCAAATGAGGATTTAAATTATTAAGAGAAAAAAGGCTGTCCAAACAAACCTGGTTCTTTGTGAAAAAGCAATTACCCCTTAGCCAATTTCTTTACCCAGCCTGTTTGAGCCACCTTTGATGGTAAGAACTGCCATCAAGCATTTACTATAAATAACAATGGGTCTTTAAATTGTTCCAGTGACATTGGAAAATTTATGAGCATTAACCACCTGTGGAGGGTCCTCTGTGATCTAGGTTAGAATTTTCTTAGCAATTAATTCAGAGGCATATTTATGCTCTGGATTATTGCGATGTTATCTTGCTGCAAAACCTAAATGTGATTGAGTCTAACTTTTACAAACTGATAATCGGAAATTCTCTTTCAGGATTTTTGAGAGAGCACAATACATGGTTGCAGCAAGTTATTCTGATCTTGAGGCAGCAGTTAACTCTGTAGCTTAAATATTTTTCAGTCAGATCATCCCGTTATTCACACCAGCCTGTTTCTTAGTGTTCCTCTTGTGATGTATTATTTTAGGTCCCCCTGGACTTTTTACATTTCTGTTTTTAAGTAAAACAGTTTATTCACACTTGACTTGATCTTGTCTGCATTTAGATCTCCACACAGTTAGCTGACAAAGCTACGACACCCTCCCCCCCCCCCCCCCAAAAAAATAAAAAATATATATATATATATCTACTTATTCTGATCAAATATTGGAAAAAAAATCATTTAGCTAGAATAACGGATGAGCCTTTGGCAACATGTCGTCAACTAATTCAAACTACAAACTTTTCAGATATTGAACCGTGTGTGGAAAAGTATCCTGGTTTACCGATTATCTTGGAGAGAATCAAACTATGGTTAGAAACTCCAATGCGGTCAGTAATCTACACAATCCCATCTGTGTGGCAGAAGACAATCTTGTTCATCCTGTTCCTGTAACTACCATCTCGCTCAAGGCTGCAAAAAATTGGCACAATATTCTTTGGGTTGGCCAAGAGGTTCGCATCACAAAGTGCCAGCTACAGCTTCCTCTGTCTGACAGGTGTTCCTGGCTGCAGGCTGCATTGGGCTGATGCTATCTGTGAAAAGGAAAACACATTTTCCTCCTTGATGAAAAAAATAAATAAAAATACAGTTTTTTCATCCATTGTGGAATTTCTTTAGACTGATACATTAGTTACTTTTGAGATATTCTAATCTGCTACATGTCAGGTTATGCTGAAGTGATATCTTGGTTCCACAGGTCTGGCAGAATCCAGGCCTGGGCAAAGTTCAGCTCCAATTGATCAGAGTTAATTTATGATTTAACAAGCCGAGTGATCACTTTTCTTCATAGGGCCAGATTAATTCGGATAGCTTCTGTAAATATAAAGAGAGATGATGACTGTAGAGGGGCAGATTCCTTTTCAGAGCATTGCTGAACTAGATGCCAAATCATTTTCCCGCTTTAAAAATGCAGGCAGATGCTTGTCTCAGTCTTAAAACAAAACACATTGACAATGACAAAACCGATGCACACGAAAGTTTTTTTTGTTCTGCTTTTTTTAGACGATTTCTGGTTATCACCTATTTGACGAGATGGTAAAGTGACAGACGGATAAGTCAGGCTGAGTGGGGTAACACTGCGAGTGGCGCACAGATTTACTCAGCGCTGTCGGGAGAAGAGGTTCCTTAGGGCGTTGTTGTAGTTCTTATTAAAGGCGGTGTATATGAGGGGGTTAAAAAAGGAATTCGAGTAACCCAGCCACAAAAAGATACTCTTCCAAATTGGCGGGATGTCACAGGAGCACAGCGGCACGATGAGCTCGGTGATGAAGAACGGGATCCAGCAAAGCACAAACACGCCGATCAAAATGCCAACCATAAGGGCTGCTTTTTTCTCCTTCTGCTCCCGCCATGTGTCCCCGTCTGTCTGGAAGGTCACGGTTGCGTGGCGCACGGTGAACACCATCTGTGGCTGTTGGGCTTCCTCCTTTACCTAGGAGCACAGGATAAGCCAGACACTTCACCACTTTATCATTCAGAGCAATCCTGGTTTGCTTTCAATAATTGAAAATCTTTAACAGCAAAAGGACAAACAGCCAATTACTGCGCTGAGTGCTGTGTGAACAAAAAGATGGATTACAGACTTCTAAGTAGAGTATGAATCAAACCAAAGATTTTCATTCAATACATGGAAGCACACAACATGCAAGGAAATTAAGCTAGAGGGTTTTTTTAAGTTAAATTTGAACTTAGAGTACTACATTTTATGACATTTTATTTTCCTTTTGAGGTAGAGAAAGATAAACAAAACTCAACCTTCATTTGATTTCCTTCTGACTAATTTGTTGCCATGTGTAGCTCGAGACTAATGGATATCCTGTTATTTGGTAAAGTCACCAAGGTCAAAGCTTTTTTGAGAGAAAAACAATTTTCTTAAAAATACCATAATTGGGAGCAATGCGGTCCCGAGTTAGAGGGCCTCTCAACAAAGCTATGACTCTTTGCAATATTGGCTACAATTCAAAAAGAAGAAAAAACAAAAACAAATTAACATCGGATAATAAAATGTAGCCTCTTGAACAGCTGTATTATTAGCTGCTATTATTTGCTTTTGAAACTCCTCCAAATTAATGGAACTCCTGCCACCTTTCCAGCATTCTCATAGAGCATGTTTGGGTACACAGAAGTGAAATCCAAAGGAGGCAGCCTCCTGTGACTGATTACCCTCCCCTCCCACATGGGTAATGCTGTCAAGTGGTGTTTGCATTGAGGCTGCAACACTGCCAACAAGATAACCAACTTATGTGGCAGTTAAGTCTCCCCTGCTTGCCTCCACTTTTACTAGCACACAACATAAAAAAACCACAAACAAACAAAAAGAAAAAACAACATAGGAAAGAGGAAAGAGGTGCGCATGTTTTGATTTGACATTTCTTCATGAGTTACTGTAAGGAAATTCTCCAGTCGTACGCCATCAATATAATCTGTTATATGTACAATAATCCTGAAATTAAACCTCATTTCTGATACTAAATAGCAGCATAAAGAGCACATTAAACATGTAACATTATGCTGATATTTTGTGTGGCAAAAGGATTACATAAGGTTATAGATAGGCAACTATTACAGTGCAGTATAAGAGTGTGAAGGTGCATGCATGATCAGTGTATGGTTCGCTAATATAAAGTATTATTGTTGGCTGGAAAATGGGAATTTGAACACAGACAGAATTTCCAACACGTTCAGCCACAAGCCGTCTTTACCCGCAGTGGTACCCGACAGGAACAACAGGGCTCACTACGGAGAACTTATAAATCTCTCTGCAGGGTGCCAGGTTTTTCTATGTCTCCAGTGTACTGCAGTCAGACAACAGTTCTCCTGACTTCCTCCTCCTAACTGCATAAATCACATTCAACTTTGTGAACTGAAAAACAGGTCAGAAGCCCTGCTTCAGACACTTCTATGTTGGACAGACACTAAACTCTTCTGTACTCCAAGCACAACATCATGACTCTTTAGACTGTACCTTTATCTGCAAGTTTGAGGATCTGAATATGATTTGAAAGTATACCAAGTATTGCACAGTACAACTTGGGCTATGAGAATATATACATTTTGATGAATCACCAACTATAAATATGACTAAATGAAAAAAAAAATAAAATCTTGGAAAACTGATTTGATGGAGACGATTCATAATATTCTGAATAAGAAACGAAGGGGCAAAATGAAACCATTTTCATGAGTAAATATCTTTTGATGGATGAAGTTTAAAATGCCAATTTTGTTTTTGTGAGAGGGCATTTCAAAAACTTTGTGATTTCAATAATATTTTACTTACTATGCCAACATTTCTGTTGAGTTCCTGCCGAGAAGAAAAGGTTTGTGTTTTATGATTAGCATCTGTTGAGAAAACTCAACATGTCGCATTAAGTGAGAGTATTCAAAATTGCAGAGGAAAAACCTGAGCAAATATTAATCAGGGTTTGCTTGAGATGTAGATAGGGTATCAAACAATGTGTTGTATACCTATAGTGGATAGAACATTTAGCTTGCTTGGTATAGCGTTTTAAATTTATGTGGCATTGAGGTGAAAAGCTTCAAAAGTGTCCCTCCTTCCCAGTCACAAAAACCTGCTCCAATCACGAGTAGAAAGAATATCATGATGTGTGGGATCAAAAAAGCCTCTTAAGCCTCCTCCAATGTCCTTACACTATCAAACCAAAATGTAAAAATAGGCCTATCTTCAATATGAAACCCATTGCTGCAAATATATCAAAAAGCAGTTTCACGCCTCTTCATGTAACATTGCATTCACAAACAATAAGAATCAACCCATTCAATAAAATGATCCAACTAAAGTTTTAATTCTGGGTTGTTTCGTTTAGAATTCAAGGAAATGGCTGTAGCTTATTAAACTTCAAAGTCTTCAACTCAGCATGCACTAAAATATAACAAAAACGTTCTCTCGCTGGAAAACTGCTGATAACATTCTGCTCATGATGTAGGGGGGAAAAAAATCAAACACCATAAAGGACACATCTTCATGGGTTGTGTATATGACCGAGTTAATAAAAAAAATGGTTTTCCATATAAAATCTAAAGCCGTTATAACGTCTATTGAAGAGTTTCACAGATTCGTGATCTTTACGCATTTTATGTTGACGAAAAAAAACCCTGCAAAGTGTTTCTTAGCACATTCAGGGTATTTTAAACATAAAACCGTTCAACTGAATAAAAGCAGTTTTATGTTCAGAGTTTTGACAAAGTGAACTTTAAGTACTGAACTTTTCGATGATTTCTTAACTAAAAGGGGGAAGAAAAAAAAGAGTAGTAAATAAGTTGGATGACCTTCAATGTTGCTTCGTTTTACCTTAAAACACAGAGTCCAGCGCAGCTACACATAGTTTTAATATAAATACAAAATTATAGAACCATTTGGAGCCCAGAAAAATTGTTTTCATAGACCAGCTTATTATTTTGACCATTTGGGCAAAACAGCAAACAGTCTCTGGAGATGAGTCAAAATATACAGTGCAGGCAACAACACATAAGTTTAACACTTCCTTGCTTGCATAATATTATACGTTGAAATATACATAAGGGATAGAATTGTCTTAATCCCTAGAGAATAATTAATTTGTGTGCATTTCTTTTGCAAGAAAAATAAGTTTATAAGTTGCGAAGGTTTGGTAAATGTGTGATAAGCTGTAAGGAATGGAAAACAACTGCTGCGGTTTCTGCTTTAAGTCATGCCAAGTCATGCTTCTTAGTTCATTCTATGTGATTATATGAAAGGAACAGCTGTTGAGTTTTGAAGCGCATATGCTACATTGGCAAAGCAACAGCCAGAAACAGTGGGATCTGTGCCATAACCAAGCAATTAGCAGAAAGCGCAATTCACATCAAGTTAATGGAAAAGTATCATCAGAGAAATAGAAAATATTTCAACTTAAATCCTGGAGCTTTATGGAACTGCACCAGGGATGAGAGACAGAGAGAGAAAAGTAGGATTTAAGATTCTTGTGAGGTTCTCAATCTGTTTGGTGTAAGTGAACAAAACAAATCAGCAGCAAAAGGTTGGTTATGATGAATATTATGAGTTCAGAGCTCAATTTTTCCTGCATATTTGCACACTGAAGTATTATTTTAAGAAGCAATCAATTTTATGGCCTCCTTGAGTGTTATTTGTGCATCTAGGTCAGAAATACGTGCATCACACCTATTAATAATCCCATGTTTCTGCTGCAGTGTCTATAAGTGTGGGTACGTCTTAATGTTTGAGTGGGCGTATTGATGTGTGAGCAGGAGGGTTATTTTCTTGGATTCCACTGCTCATGTCGCAGCTCAAATTGTCAGTTTGCAGGTTATGGCTGGAAATGAAGGGAGAAGAATTTTACTGAGATGCCGCTAATCCAACAACCGTCTGTGGGGGAAAAAAAAACAATAAAATCTATTACCTGTTGCCAGGAGATTGATTGCCTGATTGATGAAACCTGACAATCGGAGGGTAGTGAAATATCAGAGTAGGTAATTTATTTAGTGATGAAGCTAATTTATTTAGTTCTCAACCAATAGCTTTCATTTTGGGGTGAACTGATGCCAGAGTTGCACAACAAAAGGGGGGAAATACATTCTGAATAAAAATGGTTGTCAGGGAACATTTAATAATAATAATAAAGAAAATCTCTATAGAAAGATTCAGATTAAAAAAAAAAAAAGAAAATGTAACATTTAGGTTCAAAGACAAAAAAAAAAAAAATGCAATGAATAACTAGCCAATGCCAATGTTAATTTCAGATGGATTTACAAATCCAAAAAAGAAAAATAATAAGTAAGGGGTTGCTCAATTTCCTCAGCTAAAACTTCCCTGATTAAACAGTTGCTAATGTAAAGTGGAACAGATCCAGACTTTTATGTGCGCTAATTAGCTAAACGGCAAAGCTTGGAAGGTGCAGGCCCCTATTAATGATGCTGAGACAGTATTTATAGCCTTCAACTCCCGGCCTACGCACACATCAACAGTCTACGGGTGATGAGCGGAATGACTTCAATTATTTTTCCGTACGCTCACACATCAGATACTTGTGCACTTCTTTGATTACTGCTGAGCTGCTCATCAGAGACGGTAATAAACAATAGGTCTGAAAAGAAGATGTGCATTCTTGATGCAGCTTAAATATGGGAGGCTAAATGTAAACACATGGCACAATACATAAAGTATTTCTTGAACCTGTAGGTTTGTTCGTTTTGCAACTACAAATTTCAATATATTATATGTATTAGTAACTCAAAGTAGTACATAACTGAGTTGTAGAAGGAAATTATTAGATGACCTGGTTTTTTTAAAAGTCTAGTAATAACAGAAGAATAGCAAAATTATATGTTGTAGAAAGCTAACATCACACGTCACCCAAAACACACCTTCCCTGTTGTGGAAGACATGTGGTGATGGTAGCATCATGCTGTGGGGATGATTTTGTGAGCAGGGACAGGAAGGTTGCAATAGGTGGTAGAGTTAAATATAGGATGAGCTTGGAAATGAACCTACTGAGGGTCCAAATGATGTGAGAGTGGGAGACAGGAACTTTCAGCAGGAAAACACTATGCAGCTAGAAATACCATGAAATGCCTCAGATTAAAATAGTTTCGTGAATACCAATACGTATTCAGAAAAGTCAAAATTCACACTTTACTCAGAATAGAAAACTGTGGGAAGACTTGAAAAGCAATGTTCTCACGCTCTGTCCAAATTCAGTTCCTACCTGTACTGATAGAAATAAACCCCCAAAAGTCGAGCAGTTATAATTACAGTAAAATGCGATTTGACTCAGTAGTAGAGATACACCCGTGGAGGCTAAACACAGACATGCCACTTCTCAGATTTGCATTTGTGAAAATGTGCAAGCAATCGTGAATTATTAACTTTTCACTTTGCAAATATGTGCTACTTCAAGGCATTTTCCAGGTTCTCTAGGCCCATTATTATCTTCCAGCTTTTCTTCTGCAATTCCGACGGCGTCTCCTCTCCGTTTTCCCCTGCCGATGCAAGAGACGTCGGACCGCTTCGTCTGGGGAAATCCCTTCAAAATCTTTTACATTTTCACCTTTCGATGGACTTTATTGTGAAGCTATACAAGTTGAAACGTGTAGTGGCTGCGAATGAATAGTCAGTTATACTTCTTAGCTGAAAATGGAAATTCTGGAGGCCCTCGCCCACTCTGTTGCTGATTCTTTGATTGACACTATTGCAGTAGGATGCATGCCTTTTGTGTTGCTCTGTCACATAAAATTTCAATGCAATACAGTGACGTTGGTAACTGTAGTGAGACATGATACAGAAAATGTCCATGTTTGCAAATATTTCTGTAAGGCATTATGTAAGGATGACAAGCTGCTTTAAGAAGATTGTAATAAAATATGAATTTTTAATTACCTCAGGCATAGGGGTGATTGTGTTTGTCTTGCGGGAGCCGATGCGAAACTTAGCAGCTTTGTAGATCTTCCAGTAGACAAACAAAACCACACAAAGTGGGAGATAAAATGCCCCAAAGGTGGAGAAGATGGTGTAAGATGGCTCCTGGCTCACTTGGCACTTCATCCCTTCTGAGTAGGTCTCTCCCCAGCCGAAGAGCGGCGACAAGGAGATTATGGATGATAGCAGCCATGTCAGCGCAATCATCACGTTGGAGATCTTTTTTCGAGTCTTGAGCGTGTACTCCAGGTGCCTGGTGATGGACCAGTAGCGGTCCAGGGCGATGGCCGTCACGTTCCAGATGCTAGCCGTGCAACAGAGCACGTCAAACGAGATCCACACCTGGCAGAGCACGCGTCCGAGCTTCCACAGTCTTCCGTTCAGCTCGTGAACCAGGCTGAGCGGCATAACCAGTGCGGCTACCATCACGTCTGAGATGGCCATGGAGGCCACCAAGTTGTGGGGCACCCGATGGAATGTTCTCACCCTCAGGATGGTCACCAGCACCAGGAGGTTCCACACGAAGGTGGCCGCCACAAGCATTGCCAATAAGGTGAGAGTGAGCACGCTGAAAACGGAAAATGGACGGTAAAGGTTTCCCCCGGAGTCGTAGCCGTCCAGAGCCCCACTGAAGTTGGCTGTCAGCGAGCTGGAGTTGCTGTACGTCATGGTAGCTGCTCACGACCCCACAGCCAAGGGCCGAGAGGATTCAGAGAAAACGTCTGCAGGAAGCCGATGCATTCTGCAGAGAGGAGACAGAAACGGGGACTGTGACTCAATCTGGAACGAGTCTCGCTGACGCAAATGAAGGTTAAAGATGGGAATATCTATTTAATGTGTTGCATTTAGTATCATTTTTACACTCTTAAAATGCGCTGCAGTGCATCATTGTGCTTCTAGAAGAGAGGTAGTTTAGTGATTTGCCTACAATGGTAAAAACACACTCGAGTCTCTCATTTCAGCAGTCAAGCAACCTGCCTACAACTTTTCAAGTGCAATTTCATCTGCTATTAAAAAGGCTCAGAGGCACTCAGGGTAACATCTCTAGCTCAGAAAAAGACCATAAATATTCAGTTTCATCATCGCACTGCTGCGCTTTCATTTGCATTAGAAGCAGACCTGTGTTGCACAATGAAACAAACAGTCTTTGTTGCAGTTTTATTTTTTCTAACAGCGAAATGTCATACACATATATATACACACGCACACAAAAAATTCTCATAAGCTTTAGGAATGCATATGTTTGCTGTGAAGAGGAATTGTTGCTTTTTGAGAAGATTCTATTGCGACATACCATTACTCCAATTTCAAGCCAAGAAAAAAAAAAATTGCCAACTATGTCAACACATTCACAGGAGGACGCACGCCTAGCTCTAAAGTCTGCACAGCGTGATATTCAGCATTGCAGAAACGGTAAATTTCAACCCACCAAGTGCTGCTGTTACTATGTGACATATTATTTTACCCCCTTACTCTGGCATTGATCTTTATTTCTGTGTTTCTTTCCTAAACTACCAGTGTAAAAAAAAAAAAGAAGAAGAAAAAAAAGAAAGAAATCTGAATGGATTGTTAGAATTACTAAAACCTACACACACATTTCAAGAAGCAAAAATAATTTCATGCACTGTGTTTTGGAAAACATATCCATGCATGTTTTAACAATCCCTTAAGATGCTAATTTTAAAGTTAATCAACTTGTTATTTCTACACGTAACGTTAGAATGGTTTCGCATGCTTTAATAATTCTAACGTCTCCCAGGAACTCTGTGAAAACTGAGAACACTTTTGCTTGACCTTTACGCCTACGAGTTATTTAAAAGTTTAACAGAAGCACACATTTTGCATGCTTTGCAAGATGATAACTGGTTTCTCATCTGCTCTGAATCCCAATTGTTCATAACAAGGTAAATTCATTTGTGTAATAAGATTCCATCAGTATAATAAACGTCTAACTAGATTTTCTGATTAAGATCAACTGGATAAAAACAGATCTGTGTAGGAGATGGCAAAGGAATCTTTTGGTCAAAATCTTTATGCATCATAGCTTTATTGGCCCAAAAGGTTTAATCAGATGGATTTTCTCTTTGCGCCTCACAAAAAGACACAGTTCCCCACCAGTTGTTGTAAGAATAATGCCTTGTAAAAGTTTAAGTCTCTTCCTGTACCAAAACTGTTCCACATTCAGTCATGTTACTACCATAAGCACGCGTTGTGCTTGTTCTTGGGGTTCTTTGGGGGGCGGCGGGGCACATTTCAAACCAACAAAGTATTATGAAACTATGAAAATACTAAAAAAAAAAAAAAAAAAAGAATCTGAAAAAGATGGCCTGCATACAGTTAAGACCATTCTGAAGTAGCAACTGTTTCTAAGCAGATCAACTCACGTTAAGCATTGATTTTTTCTTTTCCTTGTGCCATTTACTTTCATTAGGTTTCCAGCCCCATTGGCTAAAAATACATCCAAAGCATTATATTCTTTGTCCGGATGAGCTTTTGCAAAGGCGATGCTCACTTCTGTGGGACTTACTTTGAGAAATGGCTTCTTTCCCCCAGCTTTGTCTTCCTTGTGATGTTGCCACCTGCATGGCTGACGTTGTTCAGAATGGCGATTATCCTTGTATACCTTTTCACCTTGCACACACCATCAGCCTTGCCTGTGCAGGTGTCACTTTTGATTTCCGACCACATCCTCTAAGATTTTCCCGAGTGGAAGGTCTAATGCTGCAGCCTCTGGAACTTAAAGATGCATACAATTTACATAAGGCCTGGCAGGCTGGTTAGCTGAGTTTTGAGCAGCCACATGTTCTCACTGAGCTCTTTAAGCTTTAGCCATGACTTGTCAGCAAATAAATGCAGATGTTCTTCACCTGCTAGGTTGATGCAAAGTGCAAAGCACTTTTCAGAAATAAAATGGGCAATTGGGATGCTTTAAAACAGCCTGTTTGTAATGCCGTGCAGAACCTTTACCTTCCCAATTTGAAATGGGTATGAACACTTCTGGGCATGCTCTTTCACATAAAATTAAAGTCAAACATAGCTAAAATCTTTGATGAATATTATTACTATATTTTGACATCTATATTTTAGCCACTTAGAAGGAGCACATTGGCCAAATTTAAAAACCTTACTTTAAATCTAAGCTCAACTCTGTGTCCTTTTCAGGTAGAATCTCACTGCTGTCAAAAGTCACCAAACTGATGAGTGCAAACGAATTTAAGGACAAATTCTGCTGTTCTGTGAAGGCATCAGAGGTTAAAAACAAAAAGAGAACAGCATACCCATAAACCTACTGGTTGGACTACTCGTAAGTAACCAAGAAGCTGTAGAGATCCACTTGAGACTGAAGTCAAGATTTACCTTTCAACAGGACAACAGCCCTAAACATACTCTCATTAGAATGCATAAATCCAAATTAAATTCTGTGGCAAAGCTAGAAATTTGATGTTTAAGTAAGACTGGGCAACATATTTAGTCACTGCAACTTCAAAACTGGACATACCCCCAAAGACTTGAAGAGAAAGATGATTGCACAGTATTATATTGACTCAGGAGGACTGATTGCCAAGCTTTTGAGGTTTTCATTTGTAAAGAAATTTAAACAACACACATCATTTTCTTTTCACTTCATAATAATGCACTAAAACGTTCCCAAAATTTGTGAATGCGACATAATGTGAAGAAGCCAGCAAGTGAAATGTCACATTACCCCTTGACATCACATTCTGCTTCCTCCGATCAATGACTTCAGCACACCACTAACCCCTGTGCTCCTTCTCCTGCCCTCTCTCATTAACAAGCCCAATAAAAGGTTGTACAAAGGGACAGCTGTTGTGAAGGGAAAAGGTGATGAAGCATGCATGCACTCTGAACAGCAATCTTGCAGTAGCTCTGTTGACATTACAGAAGCAGGGCCAGGTGTCAGGAAGGGCAGTGGACACACGCTCTGCAAAAACTAAAAACCCAAAATGGAAGGATACAGAAAAAAAAAACAACACACACACACACACACACACACACACACAACTGTATACATTTACACAGATGTGAAAGGAATGGAGAAAATGACTCCAAATGGCCTTACAGCCATTTAAGTCAAAGAGCAGCAAATACATTGCTTAGTACTTTGAAAGGACCAGCTGGCTCTTGGGTGAAATACTCCTGGGAATTTTAGCTGACATAAATGGATTGTGATTATAATCTCATTACCTATGCAAAGGTGTCCACGTCTACCATTTAGTATGAGGAAAGAGGCATGAATGGGTTTCAAGCTGAAGAATGCACTTGATTGTTGGTGTAAAATCAGCAATCTATGAGGAGCTTAAACCTTTCCAGAGCTCATCAGACACCGAGTTCAAAAACTTGCAGGGGCATGTTTCCTTTTTAAAATGTCCTCTGAACCCTTTCAGTTGGCAGCCAGTCTCTTCTGGATGCAAACATAATTTTCTGAAAGAAAGAAAGCCACTTTGTCTCCGCGGTGATTACCTCTCTTTTATGTCTGTTTCTTCCATTGTTGTCCCGTCTCTTCTTGCTACAGTTGGCAGATAAAAATGTGACTTTTTTTAAAAATTTTTTTAGAAAGTTTGTCAGCAAAGAAGCCATATTAGGTAAATAGCAAATGTGACATCTCCTTTCCATTTCACATTTTGGGGTCCAAATGCAGTGTCACAGCCAGTCCTGTGATTAAAACTGTACCAGCGCGAATGACATTCTCTCTGTGCAAAAAGCTCTTCATTAGGAAAACTGTTGTCTGCTCAGCTGTTGAACAATTTCCTCTGAGGAGAGTTTCTCTGAGGCTGACATTTGCGGATGAAAGGAAGCGGAGGTATTGAAATGTGTCCTCTGACTTGTGTTAAAACCTCAAAAGGGAAATGCAAAAAGAGGAAAGCGAAGCCTCACTTTTCCCCAATTTGGCACAGCAGAACCCATTTGTCAAGCAATGCAAAGTGTTTTTTTTTTCAGCCAGCTTCTGCTACACATGTATAAATGTCCAAAAAAATAATTTAGATTTTAAACAACAATAAGATGAAAGGATTGCAATTCAGAGTCACCACTTTTACCGTGATAATCTCTGAGGACACTTGTTACACTGCATTCCAGAAACACCCCTTTACCTTTGAAGACACCAGTAGTCAAAAAACACAATTTCCATGTCTTGTTGGTAAAACAAAATTCGGGTCATCATTCTGTAAATAACAACTCACCCCGTTGACAATTAAACACGGAGCAGCCCCGACGATCTCGGTCCTGATCTCTTCATCCATATCCACTTTGCTGGTGTTCCAGTGCCGTGATTGAACCGCCTGGCTCAGTGTGTGGATAACGGCAGAAACGCGCTTCGCTCCGGAGGATACAGAGCGGCTGGAATGAACCACGGCGCGAGCTGAAGGAGGGGAGGGCTCGCGCCAATTAAACGATAAACGCCACGTTTTCTGGCGCGAGTGGGAGACTTGATTGGCTATGATCTGCACCTGAACACAACTTTTATTTTCTCTAACAAGCGGAACGAAGCGCGTACATTTATCTCCGTCAGCAGCGCGTCTTGGAAAGATTCCCTGTTTGTAATTAGTCTGACCATGCGGTGATCAGAGCCTGCTTCAGGAGAACCGCTCGTGCTGCTTTGTGATTGATAATCCTTCTGACCCCCCTCGCCCCCCCATCCCCTGCAGTCTTTCTAGGTTAACACGATGAACCCCTATTTCGCAGAAAGTAACTGAAATCCAATTTATGTTCGGAGAAAGCGTCCTTGTATAACTTCTAATGGAGTTCTTCTTGGTTGGACCATAGGAAGCGGGACACAGGCTGCCCTGCAAAAAATAAGTGGAGAACTTCCCTTTGAGACTCATTAATGTAGCAGCCTTCATACACCCTGAAACGTGCTGAGTTACATAAAATGAACCCAAATGCTGAGCTTTGATCTAACCGCAGAAAGAACATCTCTGCGACTATTTCACCTATAAAGATTGAATTATACAAAGAACATTGGATTAGTCGTGTTTTGGTTTTACTTTAGTTCAGTCTTTCTTAGTGTTTCTAGTTCTGTTTATTTCTTCTAGTTATTCTTAGTTACCACAGTTTAATCATTTCTTGTGACTATTATTCTTAGATTTATTTTCTCGTCCCCTGTACCTCCCTCTCTCTCTCTCTCTCTCTCTCTCTCCTCAGTCTGCCTTTCTACTCTCTCCCCTCACACATGCAATCAGTTTTGCCAACCAGCCCAGTTCTTTGTTTTCCAGTACTTAAGCTCCTCTCTTTCAGTCACTCCTTGCTGGTTCCTTCTGTTACTTCCCGTTCAGCTCTGTTACCCCTTGTGTCTCTGTGCGATTATTTCCTAGATTCTAGAATAATTTTCTGCTTTGGCCTCCTGTGGATATTTATAAGTTCTTGTTTCTCATTTTTCATTAAGCAAATGTTCATTATCTCCACACCTCTGCTATTTTGCAGTTGAGTCCACAATCAACCACAAACAAATCATGACAAAGACCTAATAATAATAACAAAAACAATGCAAGCAAAGAAATGATAGATGAGATTGCCTTAGTAAAATATGATTCTTCTCAGACTTTATAATGCCAGGTTTTTTTTTGGGGGGGGGGGGTAGACTGACATTCAGATGGCTATAAATATAACAATAACAACAAAAAGTCATTTTAGAGTACTAACCTGATGGGCAATTTCATCAAAAAAGAAGCAAGAAACCCGATAATAAATGTACCTCCAGAACAGCTGGTTCCAGCACCACGGTCAGCGCCAAGGGATATTTCCATTTTACTGCACACAATAGCAAGCCAGTTTATTTTTGCACAGGCTGCATGAAGTTACAAGCTTTTCCCCTGGATCTGCAATGGATATGTAAACACACACACACACATGCACACACGCACACACACACACCATCCAACTAATTTGCTCTAGTGTGTGTGGAGTAGGTTTATCCAACTCTCTGACACTTACTTCTTTTCTAATTCAAGGGATTTCTCCGAGACAAAACAGCGTCTGCTAACTTACTATGAAATATGCAGCTGCACACATGCAAAGGCACACTGAGAGTTTATCACATAAGCCCATTCTTGGGGGTTGGGGGAGAGACATTCAGGCAGCTAAAGCATCTTTTCATCTACTTTAAAAATCTCCCTTTATTCCCTTATAAAGGTGCTGCTGCACAAAAAATACTCTTCGTGTCAGTCATCATGTGACACTGCTCCTTCGCATGCAGATGCAATACCATGACTAAAAGTGTTCAGCTGTTAAGGCCTCATGAGGTAAAAATCCACTGCAGTAAAGATAAACAGTGTGCTCATATCTTGCGGGGTATGTAAAGTTTTTCACTGGAAAGTGAAATCTGCAATCATGCCTTTTACTACTTGTGAACCTAGTTGGGGGGAAATGTGTACTTTGCCCTGTTTTGAGCTGCTGGGAATCAACTCTCATGAAAATCCTTCCTCCTCTGCTCTTCCTCCTTGTCCGAAACAGAGTCCTCTCTTCTCTATCTGTGCAGCTTCCCACTCATCACATCTCCAACCTTTCCTGCCACACTTGTCCTTCCCCATAAATTGCCTTCATCATCAATTACTGCTATTGCGACCAGAGCATAAGGCCATCAGCAACTATAACTTCACTCTGCAGATCCTGTGAAATGACCAGAGTGGAAATATGGCACTGCCTTGGGCGAGGGACTTCACCGGTAAACATGTCACATAAATTCTAGCCTGGGTGTGTGCCAGTGTGTGCGTGTGTGTGTGTGTGTGACTTACAGCATCAATGTAAGGTGTGACTGAAAGTAAAGAACAATTAAACATGGATTTTCACTCTAGGGTGTCCTCTGTATGTTCTGTGATCCCAGACCGTCACACTTTGGTAAACTTGTGATCTGCAGAAAAAAAAAAAAAATCTTGATTACTGTGCTAAAGTAGTGTCATGATTTAGTCCTTCACATGTCCTTTGCTCAACTTCAATTTCTGACAACTGAAGTTGGCTATGATTTCACTCAGTTTCACACAAAATCAACATACAGGATGCCTAACAGGTGTGTTCAGTGTTCAGATAACAGGTTCAGACAATGATTGGGTAAGCTTCTGAAATAATTATATACATGTAATTAATTACACCATTGTTTGAAGCTATTATTTTCATTTTGCCAGCATGAAAAACATATTTGACTGAACTCATTTGATTGAGAAATCTATAAAAAATAATAGAAAAATCCAGCATTAAAGTCCAAGGAATGAAATGAAGATCTTAAAAGGAGGTATACTTCATCAGAAAGTCCTTTGGAGCCATTTCTAAGCAGTGACAGATTTCAAGAGCATCAGTTCAAACATTGCTGTGCAAGCACAAGCTATGATATGTCATCAAGGTCTAGAAGCAGACACTGCTGTCATCTGGAGGTTTAGGAACATGGGAAGCACCAAATCCCAAGCTTACCATGAACAGGGGCCTGTTGGAACACCACCAGTGTCACTGTGTCCAGTGAGACACTGTCGCGTCTCAGTGGAAAGAGAGAGCACTGAATTAGAAAAGTCTGCAAAATCTTTAAAAATGTGTAAAATTGTAAAATCTACAGTTGAAATTTGCAGTTACTCTCATGGATAAGTCAAATGGCTTATAGAGAAACATTTCATAGATTAAGCCATGAGGTCACAAAGTTCTATGTCTGGAAGAGTCTGTGAAGACGTAGGACTGAATCCAAATCCTTCAACCGTACCTCAAGAAAAGAACCGGGTTTTAAAAGAAGAAGCAGCCAAGAGCTCAAGCCAGATCCCGGCTGCAACGCCAAGCATAAGAAAAATAAGTATTCCGATTCTGCCAACACTAGTGGTTAAATATCCATCTGAAATTATACATGAATCTTGCTGATGATTATATTATAAGTGAGTGGTTGAAGTGAAGTAAGCTAATGCATATTTAATTAAATCCCAGTGAATGTCTGGATCTGCAACTTTGATGCTTTTGTGAATCACACAAAAATACACAAGGACGTCAAACTTTTCCTTCCACTTTTTAATTTTGAAAATCATAAGTTAAGTTATGTGTTCTTGACTTGTAAGAGGTCCAAGTTCTGTGTCTAAGACACCAACCCAAATCATTACCCCTGCTGGCGTTGTTCCTGTTCTGGTTAACTTGGCTGCTTGAGCCGCCGCTGGTTGCATCTATTATAAGTACCACAGTTTCTAACAATTGCATGTGTTCACTTGTGTACCTGGTTAAATTTATCAGGACTAAATGTTTTTTTTTTTTCCTTTGCACTGCAGACAAAAAGGAAACTATCATGCTGCACTTTCTGCTACCCTTGAAGCTTAATGATATGTATCTCCACTCTACCACCCATGGCTAATTACAGCATCAACGTAAGTCAGTGGCTGTGAAAGCCAGTGGAGGCTCGGAAAGGCAAGGTGTTAGGCTGTGATGTGCTGAGGCAAGCAGCTCCAAACGAAGGAAAAGCAGAGGACGTTCAATAAATTGAGAGGATGGAGAGGAACAGACACTGTTTGCCAAACTGTTGGCAGAGTACACCAAGAGAGCACAAACTCCTGAACAATGCTCTGAACTTGTGGTGTGTTCAGAAATGTTGCTCAAATTTAAGTTAGTGCAAATATTACATTCCCTCAAGCAGAGGATTTAATTTTGAAGACTTTGTATAGATGCCGAAGGCTGCAGCACACCGTTTTGGGTTTATGAACTGTTTACTATTTTTTGTTGTTGTTGTTGTTGTCCTCAGTGCAACAGTGTCAAAATACACTCCAAATATAGGCTGAACATGTATTATTAAACATAGATTTATATTTTTACATAATCTAAAATTATTTAAATATTTTTTTTGGAAGTAACGTTTGGTAAAACTGCTGCTTAGACAAACACTTTTTATTCAGAAGTATTACTGTGAGAGAGCGGATCTGTGCTGTACACATTAAACTGTTAGCCTCCAGTTTTCCTTCATAACATCCACCCAGAGATTTCTACTGTGTTATTTTTAGGGCAGCACATATCAGGCCTTTAGCTTCTGATGACACAGCATAAGGCATCATCAGATCAGTTGCAACCAGGCTACAAACAACAGTCGAAATATATTGACGTCAGTCTCTGAAGAGCCGAACCATGCCGGTTTTATCACAGCGAACGATGTTTAACTTTATAAACAGTGTGTCAGCAGCTACAAGAGACAAAAAAACAACAAGATGTTGGATTCATTCTGTGTTCCACCAACATGCTGCATTATGAAAAGTGGAACATAATTCCATGCCTTTTCAACTACACTTATTGCCACCTGTGGTGATGACGTGGTAAAAGTCCATAGATGAACAGATTTCCTCGGTAGCAGTGTAATGTCACACTGAAAGTAGGTAGAAAAATATAACCTGTAATTTATGTAATTTTCGAAAACAAAAAAACAAGGCAGGAGTTAAAGGGGAGTAAAAAACAACAACAACAACAAAAATTCGGGTCTTGCATCATGTCATAATTTCATTCTCAACTCAAATATACGTAGAGTGTTGTTTTGACTCCTTCATATATGTTTGAGAAATCCTTTTATTTCCTGTGGCAGCCATTCAGGGGTGCCTGTACACGTTGCTCTCTCAAAGCAAGTCCATTTTCACAAAGTCCCCAAGATGAACTTCTATCTCACAGAGATCCCACACCTTCCTCACTCAGCTCTTTTAGA